TTTTAATTAACATATTATATTATTTATTTATTATTTTATTTGTATTAATTAACATATTATATCATTAGATATTTGATGTAATTATATTATGAAATGTTGTAATTGACTAATTTTTCAATATGTCTTTTTGTCATTTTACAGCTTTAATCTAGTTTATCAATTAGTTTTTATTAAACATAATTTGTTTATCAGTTAGTTCGCCAAACATAGCCTAATTGAGACAATTTCTGTGACCTATTTTATCCCACTAAATACCCTAGAACAAGGTGTAACAAAAAACCAAAATACTATAATACACTAAAATAAAACTCTTTGTTCTTTGTTCTAATCTTATAATTTAAATAAATATAAAAGAAGGTTCAAATCATAACAAGATTTAAATAAGAAAATACGAGAATATATATATATATTACATGTGATTTTGTACTAAAATCATATGTGATTATGGGCAACCTGGGCTGTGATATAGATCACAATTGAAGTTAAGTGTGCACCTCTACGTTGACTGTGTTCCATAATGACATATGATTTTACTCTAAAATCACATGTAATACAAAAAAAAATATCACATCTAATCCAATCTAAATACCAAACTCAACTTTGAACAATCCAATATTTCCTCTTATAATAAGTCTTTGATTTTAATTCACTTCAATATATATATATATATATATATATATATATATATATAGATTTGGGATCATGTGAGACCAATGCTTTTTCGTGAGACCCGTAAGACCAATTCTCAACCCTTGGATTAGATTTACAGCCGTCAGATCCGAACATTTATAAACGCCACGAGATTTCTCAATAATTACAAAATTGCCACCTTGTAAGTTTTAACCATTAGATCGTTATCATATAAAGTTGATCAATGAACATGAATTGGTCTTACGGGTCTCACGAAAAACCTTTGGTCTCACGTGAACCCAACCCTATATATATATGAGGAAAGTTTCTAAAAGAGAAATTATACTTAAAATGCTTCAACTTACTTTTAGCAACGCGTGTTAAAACTTCTACACTTGATTATCATATTGAGCGTTTTTATATAAATTACAAGGTAAAATGGTAAACGATCAGATTCATGTTAAACKATTAAAGTATAAGATTGGGTTTTTTGTGAGAAGGTGAGAAATGGTGAAAGTATCTTTATATCATATGAAGGTCTGTCATGATACCCTTAAATATAACCTTATACTGTATGAAGTTCATTGTGACCAGATATACACAGTTTTAGGTTTTATGAAGTTTACAACATTCATATAAAATATCGTAACCTTTAGAATATGGAAAAGAGGAAATGTAAGTACAGTTTGTCATCATAATGCTTATTATGCACTTGGACTCCACTCGAAGTTAAGTAACAAATGACCCTTCGGCTCATTGGGAAGATTTACTATTTTGGAACTAATAAATCGTATCAAAATGTAATGAAATTGTATAGTTTATATTTAAGTTAAGGGAAAAGACAGAAAAATCAAATGAACTTTTTCTAAATAAATAAACCATTGAATTTTTAGAAATTAATTACATATATCATTTTAACCCGAAAAAGCTATATGTAACCGACTAAAATGTATTAAAATAAAGAAAAGGGTTAATCAGTTTTATCCTCAAACCTTACGCATTCAAACCCTCACACCCAACGAGATTGCTCCCGTCGCCACCTTCTCATCGCTCCCATTGTCTCCGCTCACCATCGTTGGTTATCGACGTTGTTGCCCCTTATCATCGATCTCCCTTGCTTTTTGATTTTTTTTTTTGTCTTTCGATTCCCTCTCTTTTCCAACAACTTACTGAAATGTGTATAGAAAAATCAAAAAAGTGGGAGAATCGGAAAAAACAAAAAAGAACAAATCAAAAAGAGGGAGATCGATGGTAGGAGCAGACGACGGCCATAGACAATGATGGAGAGTGGACAACGATGGGCCATCAAAGGGGAGCGATGGCGTTGGATGCTAGGTGTTTGAATAGTGTAGGTTTGGCAGTGTTGAAATTATTCATATTTTTTACTAGTGTCTTTTACTCAATAAGTGCTTATCGGGTAAGAGTTTTTTCCTCTCTGATTACCGGGTAAGATTTTCGTTCCTTGCTATGCCTTAAAGGATAAGATTCCTTGTGATACTCACTTGATAAAATAAGTGACATTCGATAAGTATGTTTGGTAAATCGTGCCTTAATTGTTCAAAAATGGGAAATTTGATTTGGTTTTTCCACCCACTACTATATAAATGGTTTTTTTTTACATAGTTTAGAAAAACCATGTAAAAATATCCGTGTTTGTTTAAAGGCTTTTTTACACGGTTTTTTCGTAATAGAACCGCGTAAAAAAATTCGAATACCTATTTACACGGTTGTGCAGTATTTTACAGGTTATTTGAGAAAAAAAAAGTTCGAAAAGTCTCGAAACATTTTTACACAATTCTTAAAACAACCGTGTGAAAAACATATACATTTTAACATGGTTGTTTCCAAAACCATGTAAAATGTGTAAACATTTTACATGGTTATTTGAGAAAACCCGTTTGAAAAAATGTCTTGATTTTCACACAGGTTTTTAAAACGTACGCGTAAAAGCCATATAGATTTTTACACGGTTTTTTTTAAGAGAAATCGTGTAAAAAAATCTTTATAACGGTTATATATATTTTTATACGGCTTTTGAATATAAACGTGCAAAGTGATATTTAAAAAAAAAAAAACACAATCATCTACATTTTTACACATTTTTGGCAAACAAACTGTACATGTAAAAAAGTTCTTAGCCTTTTTACATGGTTTCTTTCCAAAATACCATGTTAAAAGTATTTACAAACATGTATGAACCAATTATGCAAACTCTTTTACTTGTTGAAGAAATTTATGTATCAAAACCTCTGTCTCGTATTTCAATTCTTCAAGATAAAATCGATATCTTGCTGATCAATCAGAGTTTCCACCAGATTTCATCCATCAGTATTATTTGTTGAATTGAGTTTCGACTTTTAGTAATGAGAGTGTCGGACGTCATTTCAAAAATCAAACGATAGAAAACAAAATTTTCTTAAACTAACGTAAACGTTTTTCGTAATTTAGTCTTATTATTTTGATAGCATATTGTCAAGAGTAGGGTGGGTGTAGACTTGGACTATCGTGAGACAATGACCCTTGTCCAATAATTGATTCCCTCTATGTTTTCTTTAGACCAAATGATTTGGTTCTTATGGTCTACCCCTTTTTTTTTTGTAAAATGATTCCTGAAAATTATTCATTAAAGATTAACACTTTTCGTATGTTGTTTTCTGACACCATCTTTGTTTAGTTTCATTTAATTTACCGAGCCCTGTGTTTAATTTGAATTTTCCAACATATTTCTTTTTCAGGAAAAGAATTAGTCAAGATAAAGGATCCGGTAAAATAGTTGATTTGGTTGAAGTTGAAAAACTTGATCTAGTTTTTGGTACATGATTTGCGATGTTTTTTTTTTAATATTTTAGCATGTATATATATTTTAATCATTTCGGACAGTTATATTATGTGTCTGCTCGTTTATGTTTGGAAGAAATTAATAATTTTGGTTGTGTTTGACTTTTCTTGGGTCAAACTGTTTGAACATTTTTGGTGGTTTTAAACTAAATTTTATATCTCGTATCTTTTGGAGGTTTAAAATTAATGTTTTGGTGATTATTGGTTAATTGGACGTTCTATAACAATATTTTTGAGGTTCAGTGTTATATATATATATATATATATATATATATATATATATATATATATTATATATAGAGAGAGAGAGAGAGAGAGAGAGTGTGTTTGTTTTAAATGAACATCTACAACAATATTTTTTAAATAAAAAAACCTCAATCCCACCAATTTTTTATTCGTAAAAAGATAATATAAACAAAAATCGAACGAAATAAATTACATCAAAAAATAATCATATTTTTCTCACTCATTTGACATCCATATTGATATATTTTTTTATCTGTTTTTTTGTGGTTTTTCTAGTTTTTCATTTATTTTATGTTGAGAGATAGAGTTGATTTTAGGGAAAAACGCTAATTAAATGAAAAACCAAAAAAATCGCAAAAGAAGAATGAAAAAAATATACCAATGTGGTGTAAATTATTTTGCTCAACTTTTGTTTATATTTTTTTTCAAATAAATATTAGAGGTGGTGAGGTTCTTTAATTTAAAAAATATTGTATTAAACCTCTATTTAATCACACCGTTGAATCAATTAATCTAATAAATATTAGGGGTGGTGAGGTTGAAACTCACCCTACATACATACATAATACATTTTAAAGATAAGTATATTATATATTAAAATTAAATTTAAAGTACGATAATTAATTAATATAATAAACTCAAAATAAAAATAAAAAAATTTATTTTTTGTTTTTTAGACTTAATTACGAATTTGGTCCCTATGATTCGTGTGGTTTTTATGAAATTGGTCCCTCAAACAAAGACAAAAAAATGACGAAAATACTCTAAGGTTAACGAAAGAGCTAGATAGCCGATAGAAGAATAGAAAACAAGATACTAGAAGTCTTAATCTGTAATAAAATAAAGTTGAATGACCATTTTTATAAAAACCACCAAATCCATGATTTACTCTTTTCCTTTATTTGTTTATAAATATTGAATAACCAAATCAAAGCGTCCCTCTTGTATTTTGGGCCAAAATTCATCATTTCATCAACAGATTTGTGTTTTCTGGTAAAAATCGGGAACACCATGAATCTGGAGGGAGAGCTGATGATCATCTTCTTGGTTTCTTGGCCACTCCTTTTCTTATTCTATCGTATGATCACTAAGCCTACTTCTTCCAAAAACTTGCCACTTCCACCAGGTCCATATCCATGGCCGATCATAGGCAACTTCTTCCATTTCGGAAAGAATCTCCATCACCGTCTCGCCGAGATGGCTCAAGTGCATGGACCACTCATGTCACTCCATCTCGGTCAACAGATCTTGATCATCGGATCATCACCCATCGTAGCTTCAGAGATTCTCAAGACCCATGATCATGCTCTTTCGGGTCGAGCCGTATCACGACTGTTACAAAACAGGGAACCAACTGCTCACAACATGAATCTCGTCTTCACATCTGAATCCACCGATGTTTGGAGGATGCTGCGGAATATCTACAAATCAGAGCTTTTTTCGCGGAAAGCTTTGGAATCTTATACAGAAATGAGAGAGAATAAGGTCATGGAGATGATGAAGTACTTGGGTTCAAAGGAAGGTGAAGCCATACCTATAAAGCAAGTTGCTTTTGCAACTTCTGTAAACATCCTAGGAAATGCAACGTTATCCATAGATCTTGTGGACTTTGAAGGAAATGGCATCGGTGCCAACATCATCGACTCGTTAAGAAGACTTGCAGTGTTAGCTGCAACGCCACAATTAGTCGACATGTATCCCATTTTGAGTCGATGGGATTTACAGGGTTGGTATAAGCAAGTCATGCATATCATACAAGCAGACCTCGGAACTGTTTGGAAGGATACCCTCCAAATGAAAAGAAATGGAACCAATATCTCCTCACATCTTAAAGATTTCACAGATATCTTGATTGAAAAAGGCTTCACCGATCAACAAATCAATCCTTTGATGCAGGTCTCTCTCTCTCTCTATCTATCTATCTCTCTCTCTCTCTCTATCTATCTATATATATATATATATATATATATATATATATATATGTATATATGTATAAACATGTGTTTGATTTTGTCTGTTAGGAGTTATTTGCGGCAGGAACTGAAACTACAAGTGCAAGCACCGAGTGGTTGATGGCAGAGCTTCTGAGAAACAAAGAGCTGATGCAAAAGGTTAGGGATGAAGTTACGAAGAACATCGATGGAAATGTAGTAAAAGAGTCGGATTTGGTTGGTCTTCCCTTCTTAGAAGCTTGCTTCAAGGAAACACTAAGATTGCACCCAGCAGGGCCACTTCTGTTGCCTCATAGAGCTAAAGAAGCATGTGAGATAATGGGGTACACAATTCCGAAAGATAGTCAAATCATGGTTAATGTTTGGGCAATCAATCGTGACCCCAACATCTGGGATGACCCTTTGAGCTTCAAACCTGAAAGATTTGTGGGATCGAAGTTGAGTTATAAAGGCAATGACTTTGAATTCCTACCATTTGGATCGGGAAGAAAAATGTGTCCGGGAGAAGCCATGGCTTCTAAGATTGTGCTCCTAACGGTTGCTGCTTTGATCTTGAACTTCGACTGGATCCTTCCCGATGACAAAAATCCGAACGAGATTGACATGGAAGAGGAAATGGATATTGCTATGCACAAGAAACAACCTTTGCGTGTAATTCTCAAGTATCGTAAGCAAGTCGAGAATTGACACCGACATCGTCATCATTTTCGTTCTGTAAGTTGTAATATTGTAATTAATAAGATGCGGGATGTCTTTAATTTCTCTTATTTAATTTAAGTTTTTATTACGTTACGATAATTTAATCTTTAGGGATGAAATCGTGTGGGATCACTCTTCCACTCAAAAGAGTAGTTATAGTGTCAACTACTCTTGTTTGCTAGCTTTTTTTCGTCAAGATTCTTCTAGAAATTTTTTTTAAAAATAAGCTTACTATTTAAATCCGGATAAAATTGGTGTCTTAAATTGCATGTGTCGTACGTTCATGTTAATTTAAAATAAAAATATGATGTGTCTGATATATTTTTAAATCGAACATTTATGAGAGGAATAAAAAAGACACAATCAAATAAAGTGGAAGTGCCTCAAATCTCAAATAACCGCACTTTTGTAAAACAACTTATCCCCTCTCAAGGAAGTGCCTCAAACTTAGATTGAAACGCGATGACTTCTTGTGAAAATTGCCACATGGATTTCACGTTGATTCGCTCTTCGATCTCCATTTTGATTCATTACACCACTTCCAACATAAGATATGGAACATTGTTGGAGGAATTTCCAACAATAGGATCACTGTTGTCTCCCAACCTTAGGTGAATCATACTACCTCAACTTGTTACATCTAATACTAAACTGGTCCAAACCCCCCATTTAATCAGTTGGTTACATCTGATGTTTTCTATTTAATAAAAGATATTACATACATTGTTAATTTAGTACATTCTTGATTTATTATGGACAATGACCAGCCACCTTAATTTCCTCACCAAAATAAAAGGAAAGATTTCACATGTTTTTTTTGAAAATTTTCATGTGTTAGAAGTACATATAGCATTTGGTAAAAAGGAGGTACATATAGTTATGCACGATGTACAACTATTGTAGCTCAATGAGGAAAATAATTGGGTTATTTATAGAGCGATCGTAAAGTGTTCATTTGCCTTAATTCATTTGTCAACAAAAACAAAAATTTTAACCACAAGGGTGGTGCCTGATTGGTTTAAGCTTGACTCCAAAGTTCAAAAGTAGCAGGAGGTCCCAAGTTCAAATCCAATGAGAAATAAAAATTCCCTTGTGGCCACGAAGGTTCAAATGCGGTGACTTCAGGCTATCTGCAAAGCAGGTGGACGCCCTGGAATTAGTCGGCTTGCATAACAGGTTGGATATCTAGGTTAATAAAAAAATCTATATACTGAAAATACAACCATTTATGCATAGTGTCCAAGCTGTAAAGCACAAATTGGATGTTATAAATTTACAATAATTTGGTGTTTAATAGATAATCTTTTCGCATCAAAATAAACAAATTCAAATAATTAATATTTTATAAAAACAATATTATGAACCCAAATTATCAACTACTAATACTTGTTAAGTATACAGACTAGTTAAGTATATTCTTATTTGAATTAAGCCGTTTATTAAACGCTTATCGAATTAGTGTTTATTGAATCACTTACCTTATTGAGTGAGCAGGAATCTTACCGCAAGACAAGGATTAAGAGCAGGGACATGCCCAGTTAAGTGTCTAAAGTAGCACATGCCACCATATTGTTGCTCCATAGTGATGTAAAAAAAATAGGTTCATGAAAGATGTTAACTTATTGTTTTAGAATGTGCAACCGTTTTATACTATGGCAGCAGGGCCGGCCTTGGCTAACGGCCCAGGGCAGCATAAAGCCCAAAGGCATCAAAATTTCAAAGCCCAATGTATACATATATAGGTTCAATTTTCATTTGAGCATTTACCTTTGATAAGCATGGTTTATTACATGCTTAAAGTACTCAATTCTTATGTTTAATAGGTAGATTTTCCTAGTTTATCTCAACCTTAAGTCATTTTTACTTCCTTATTTTCAATTTGTTATGTTTGGAGCTAAATATGATGATGAATTTGTTTTTACAACAACTTGGAGTAGATGACATCTTTTGACTTATAACACTGCACTATAATGTTGCAGCATTCCAGCAGCATTGCCCGGTTCCATTTTGGCTTTTTGGTGAAGTGCTTATTGGTTAAGCCATTGTCAAGGAAGGAGGTCTGAGCTGATGAAACCCTCGTTTTGGCCCTCAACCAGCTGGTGAAATGAGGTGGAGAAGACTTTTTGTTGACATGTTATGATGGAGATGATACCTCTTTTTTCTAGTCCACTCATGTGTATCTTTTACCTCTTTTCCATGTTTTTGTCTTATGTTAACTCTTGGGTATAAAAGAAAGCCTTAGGCTTCTCTTTTGCTAATTATCTCATGGACAATTGTAGTTCAATCTTTTGCTCCAAAGTACTCTCAAACTTTTAAATCTTTATTTAATTATTGTTTGTCATCTTTTGTCTTTTATTTATTTATTTATTGTCATTTATTTTCCGTCTTTACTTTCAGTTATTTATTTTCAGTTATTTACATTCATGTTTTTACTTTATGTCATTTATTTATGTCATTTACTTTCCGTAATGAGTAGCTAATTTTATTAGCTCGGGTGTAGGGTAAATGGTGAAATGTTAAACCAAATGAAAGTGAACGTTGTTTCGCAATAACAATGTTCCACTATTTCATTCAAGTTTTATAAAACCAAGCACACTTCTTGACGAGTTGATCACTTTGAAAGTGTTAAAGTGCCATAGACTTAGAGATAAGCCATGATAAGCACGCCAGCTTGAATGACATGAGAGGTAGACTTGAGAAAGTTGCCGACAAGGAGACTTGTCATTTATGTTTTTCAAACTTAGCTGCTGACGGGTTGGTCACTCTCTAAAAGTGTCAAAGTGTGATATATACAGAGATGAAATATCAAGAACATGCCAACTTGAATGATATGGAGATGATGAAGTACTTGGGTTCAAAGGAAGGTGAAGCCATACCTATAAAGCAAGTTGCTTTTGCAACTTCTGTAAACATACTTGGAAATGCAATGTTATCCATAGATCTTGTGGACTTTGAAGGAAATGGCATCGGTGCCAACATCATCGACTCGTTAAGAAGACTTGCAGGGTTAGCTGCAACGCCACAATTAGCCGACATGTATCCCATTTTGAGTCGATGGGATTTACAGGGATGGTATAAGCAAGTCATGCATATCAAGGCTTCACAAATCAACAAATCAATCCTTTGATGCAGGTCTCTCTCTCTCTCTCTCTCTATATATATATATATATATATATATACATTATATATATATATATATATATATACATAGGATTGGGTTCACGTGAGACCAAAGGTTTTTCGTGAGACCCGTGAGACCAATTTATGTTCATTGATCAACTTTATAAACTAATGATCTAATGGTCTAAAGTTGTAAGGTGACATTTTTGTAATTATTGAGAAATCTCATGGCGTTTATGAATGTTCAGATCTGACGATTATAAATCTAATCCAATGGTTGAGAATTGGTCTTACGGATCTCACGAAAAAACATTGGTCTCACATGATCCCAAGTCTACATACATATATAGAGGATATAGATGAGCAATTAAATGAAAACCGCCCCTATTTGTGTAAACCAATCTCATGCATCCATTTTCTTGATCAATTGTCAAAATTAGTTTAGTTTATTTTAAAAAATTTAAAAATATATATATATATATTAAAAAAATTATTTTATAATATCGAGAAAGGCAAAATGGTAAACCCAACCACATCTTCATCATGCACCTTATATTCATCATGCACCATATTATAGTAAATTCCTCGCTCTTTTCATCATGCACCCTGTTTCACTTGTCCAATGAGATTGTTCACGCACCCATATCATCATGCACCTATTTCATGTTGTACCTATTTCATCATGCATCCATTTCATAATCATTTTTACTTACTTCATGCACCAATTTCACCATGTATGAAACCAGTTTCATCATACACCCATTTCATAATCATTTTTCACTTACTCCATGCACCAATTTCACCATGTATGAAACCGGTTTCATCATGCACCCATTTCATAATCATTTTTCACTTACTCCATGCACCAATTTCACCATGTATGAAACCGGTTTCATGAATATTTTTTTTCTATTACTGATTTCATGGATTTATTAATCTAATAACTTACGATTTTAATGAATTCTGGCAATAATAAACCGAGACACAATATAAAACAAAATTCAATTTTTAATATTATAATTTAATTAAATATTTAAATGTTACCATTTATAAAATTTTCTTTATTATGTTGTCTTAATTAAGATTTATTAGTAACTTCCATATTTAATAGAAAACAATATAAATGACCAATATACCCTTAATGGTTAAATTTAATTAGAAAAAATGGAATTTTTCTATTGGTCGAAATTAGTTTACACGGTTTCTAAGAATTGCACGGTTTTCAATTGAACGTGCCTCTATGTATATAAACATGTGTTTGATTTTGTCTGTTAGGAGTTATTTGCGGCAGGAACTGAAACTACAAGTGCAAGCACTGAGTGGTTGATGGCAGAGCTTTTGAGAAACAAAGAACTGATGCAAAAGGTTAGGGATGAAGTTASGAAGAACATCGATGGAAATGTAGTAAAAGAGTCGGATTTGGTTGGTCTTCCCTTCTTAGAAGCTTG